ATCTAGTCACAATCCTGTACCCAGGGGTTGGGTGATATGCACGTGGAAACTGGCAGCTGCTCACACTGAGAGGGACTGGTTCTCGGGAGCCAACTGACTTCAGCTCTCTATTTGAGGCAATGAAAACTGAGGAAGTCACATAGCTTGGCTGTTCCTCAATCTCCAGACGCAACTGATTCACAGGTTTCACAAATCCGCAGAATAAGGCTTACACCACCATCCAACTTGTTGACTGTGACAGAGGTAACTGAAACTGTAACATTAAAGTATGGACTTATTCCAGCCTTTTTTGCAGCCATATCACAGAACAAATTCATGTTTTAGATGCTGTCCACTATCACTTGGTCTCTTTTAGTGTTGTCGCTTTGCATAATGTGCACATTTTATACCAGGGGTTCCCAAACCTGTGGTATTCATACCCCTGGGGGTCACACAAGACATCTATGGGGGGTATGCAGGAGAAATTGTATTATGGCAGATTTCATTTTCATTAAAATAATAATTGGAATTTAAGGGGTTAAAATAGAAAACATATGCTGGTAGGAGTATGCAGGCAGCTGGTAAGTCTGGATGGGGATACACAATAAGAAAAAGTTTGGGAACTTCTGCTTTTAGACTATTTTCCACAGATACACATTGGTTTTATTTTTCCAAATTGGATCCTGTTTTATTCTTCTTCTGCTCTTGTTTATAAATCATACTAGGGACTATAGTATTAGTTCTCAGCCCTTGCTGCCATTTTCAGAATCTGCATCTGCAGGTTATTACCAATACAAGTACACCCTCTTGTAAAATGCTGCTCTAGATTACTTGAGTAAAGCAGCAAGGGTAACTTTCCTTCTGTGCTACAGATGCAGCTGCCTCCATCACAGCAAATGGGGAGATCTGACCAACAAGTTTGGATCAGTGGACTTGCCAACTCAAAAGAGAAGATAATTTATTTTATCAACATAACACAAAGCAACTCTTATTAATCTGTCAGATACTACAGAAATTCTAGAAAGCTTTCATAAAGAAAATGAAAACCTAAATAAAATCTATTAGAGATGAGAAACTAGTAATCCCATAAAATATTGAGATAGCTGCAAATCCCCCAAATTAAAGATAATTAAATCCTTGACCCCGCTTAGGGTGAGGAGAAAACTCCACAGGTGGAGGCACAGTAGAAACTGACTCACTGAGGCACCATTCCAATTTCAAGTTTCAGGTTCAGATTTGTATCAAAATCCTAAGAACAAACTAAATCTAGTGTCTAAACCAATGATTCTCAGGCAAGGTGCCATGAGATCCTTTTATGGGTGCCACAAGGTGCCAAGCAATATTAGCACTGTTAAGTGTACAAACACTTACACATGCTTGATAAGATAAACTAGTCAGAGGGGACCAGCAGGCACTGGGGAAGCCTCTGTTCCCCCGAGCACTACCAGGAGTGACCAGGAATAACGGTCACAAGCTGGCAGAGGGTAGATTCAGACTAGACATCAGGAGGCGCTACTTCACTGTTAGGGTGGCTGGGATCTGGAACCAACTTTCAAGCGAAGTGGTGCTGGCTCCTACCCTGGGGGTCTTTAAGAGGAGGCTAGATGAACACCTTGCTGGGGTTGTTTGACCCCAGTACTCTTTCCTGCCATGGCAGGGGGTCAGACTTGATGATCTGCTCAGGTCCCTTCCGACCCTAGAAACTATGAAACTATAAACCCCGAGATTTGAAATAGGAATCCATATTGTTAAAAACATTTTTGACCTGCTGTGGTCTTTCTGTATTCTTTGTAATAGGAGAACTGCTCTATTATTTTTCTGTACTCAAAACAAGTGATAGTTAACAGGTGGCATTTCCAAGGGAGCCTTAAGTCTAAAAAGATTGAAAACCAATGGTCTACACTTAAGTGGTAGAAATCTAGACTTGCAATATCTGCTATCTTTACCCTGCTCAAGCTTTTATGACAAACCAATATTGCCCTAGCTCTCAGGATGAAAACTTAATTTTAGCCTTTTCTAACTATTAAGGGAGAAAAGACAGAGGCAGTTCTTCACTTTTTTTTTTTTTTGGAATGATGAACTGCACCTCTCAGCCTTCCGGCTGTGCAAGGTCCTGGTAGTTCTTTTCCACCCCGACTGAGGCTCTGCTCTGATCTTAGTGCTCATCAGACAGTGGATGCTCTGTTTTAGAGCAGCAGCTGGTAACCTACAGCCTGCAGGATGGATCTGGCCCACTAAAACTTTGGGTCCAGCCTGCAGATCTGGGACTTCAGCAGTATGCCATGATGGGGGGCACCTTCTGCGGGTGCTCTCCCTGGGCCACTGAAGAGACAAGTGGTAGTGGTGGCAGGCTGCAGGTACCTGCCTGACTCTGACCCAGGGAGGATCATTTCAGTCCATAGCTGGAAAAGGTTAGCAACTTCACTTTAGATCACAGAGAAGAGCATTTGAGAGATGAAGAAAATGTAACACACAACCTTTTCTCCCTGTGACTTAGCTGTTGGGACTACAAGGACTGGCGAAAATAGTTCTCTTTTCCTCCATAGAGCAAATATGATTTGCTACATTTCATAAAAGTTCCACTGCGTTGTTATAAGAGTGCACACAATGAAGCAGCTCTATGTGGGGAGCCTAACTCAGATGCCAGAAGGCAGGATTGATTCTGGAGAAAGATGTATTTTCTGAGCCAATAATTGAGCCTGTCAATCACCAGAGGGCATATGCATTTTCTGATTTGTGAATGCCATGCAAATGGAACAAACAATTTTCAAACATTTCCAAACAAATGCCAAATGCATAAAAACAGTTATTTGGCAGAAGCCATTTATAAGCCCCCCACACAGCTCACTTTTGCCTCTTTTTATTGCACACTCTACATGCTGCCAGCAGAGGACAGGGGAAGACTGATTGAACAGCATTTTTTAAATGCAATTCTGACAGAATAGGGAAATAAGGCCTCTCAAAAACATACACCAAAAGGTCATAAAATGACTCAAGAATACTAGAATAGATGCAGTAAGTTAGAGAAGTATGAGAAATGTTAAACTGTCCAATTAAGAAAAGGAGCGTATTAGAAAGGGACAATTAATTTTATATCTAGAAAGATCTACAACTAATGCAGATAATGCTGAAAGATGAAAGAAAAAAGGCAAAAGAATATTTTTTTAAAAAGCCATTTTTAGTTTAGTAGGAGAAAAACAGAGAATGCTGGAAGCCGTGCAGCTACATAGACAAGTGCAAATTTGAAAATGTTCCACAAAAACTATGTACACAAACAATATATAACTGATTACCTATATCTGGAAGGTCTAAGACTGTTCATATTCATTTATGTAGCTGTCAGTCTGAGATATTCTTGTGTGCAGCAAGAAAATTAGCAGACATCTCTTGTGATGGGAACAGTGCTACAACACTATCTTATCAGTGAGGTTTGTGCATAAGTACTGAGATAGGACCACTTCTAGCTCCACCATGGAACACAATGAAAGTGCCATATCATACTTTGCCCTGCTCCTAGTAACAACGAAGGCCCTAAAACTGAGCTACTTCACAGTTTTTACAACTGAGATTAGGACTACAGTCTGGCTCACTGCTGCAACTGGTTTTCAAGGGACTTGCAAAACAATCCTGAAAGGCTTTATCCACCCAACTTCCCTCTTAAGGTTCTGCCACTGTGCTACTCACATCCCTACCAAACATACAAAGCCAGTCAAAGGAAGTCCTGGCTTTTTGCTGCTGAGTACAAAGCTCACCTGCCTTTGTTTCCACGAATAAGGAGGAGAAAAGTATTTTCCCTCTCTCGGCAACCGGAAGCTAGCAAACATGTTTTATCTTACTGATTCCCTGCAGCAGGCCCAAACTTTCTTATGAGCTGCCTTGAAAGGTGGTGACTAGCCTGAAATTTTATATAAATTCATTTAAAAATTCTATGTAAAAGAAAATCACTGTTGCAAATTGAAACAAACAGAAGTCTAGTAAAAACTAACTGAAGGCAGCACAGGCAACCATAACTCTGGCCTGTTTATTTAAATGGTACAAAACAATTTTCTTAGTCTAAAATTTTCGTTTGAAAGGAGAAAGTCAGTCATGTACAGCTAGCAGTCCATTGTAAAGAGACTACCCAATGTAACCTTCACAAAAGGATCACTCTATCACCCCCAAAAAGGAAATTATAACTCACAAGCTCTGCACTAATAATAAAATACCAAATAATGTTTTGGAATTCAATCATAAAATGCACAAACCTGTTTCTGTAAACCACGAAGAGGTAGAATTTGGGTTGACAGTCTCAAACTTCACCACTTGGTTGAAGTCTCTCCCTCTAGTGACGCCAACACAAACTAAAGGGAACTCCTGTTCAGGTACTACCAGCATTTCAAACAATCTTAGTGGACAAGGTACAGGAAAATCGATGTGCTAAATTAAGAAACAAAAAAAAACTGTTAGAGAAAGTCAAACAAGTGAAAAAGTAAACAATTTAGTAGGTGTCATTATTAGACAATTAAAACAGCACTATACGTTGGATAGAATAATTTTTTTAATTTAACACTCATATAATATCATAATTATTTTCAAGTATAACAGAATTGACAGGTGCAGAAAATCTGATTTACGAAAACAATGAGGTCCTCAAGTCAATTTTGTTGCAACAGCCTGACTTTCATTTAACTTTCTTCTCATGGCTTCCTGCAGGAGACTGCCACTTGTGAGTGACATCGCTGGGTGAGGTGTCACACAACCACTGCTTCCCCCAGCTGACAAGACTATGGCTGCTACCCTTTCACGTACATTAATCAGAATGGCCACAACTATTTAGATGATTTCAGAGGGGAAAATATGATTTTTAAATGAATGTCACAAATTCTATGGCAAGTAGGTCATATTACCCCTTCAAGTTTGGCAGCAATTCAGAGTTATCCATTTAGGTTCTTCCCTCAACTACCCCAAGGCTCTTGGGGAATTAGGTAGAATATTCTCACTGGATACCTCTATGACACTTACATGGAAGCGCTCCCATTCATGGAAACATTTGAAAACAGACCAATGGATCTTGGAATGGCATATGAGCAGGGAAAAATGAGGTTAGCAGTACCTTTTCTAAATGAGGTTAGCAGTAGCTAGGAGAAAAATATAGGAACAAAACAAATCATTCACATCTGCTACTAAATTAATTATTAGGGACCTACTGAATCCATGGCAGAAGTGAGGTGCACTGTAGCTACTTTAATTTTGCCAGTTTACCCATGCTCCTCCCCTCCCCACTGATTGGTGGAAGGGCCCTGCTTACTCCTGATCAGTAGGGAGGCAAAAACTGAAGTTTTGAGTATGCCACCATTTTTGCCTCCTGCCACTGAGAGGCCCTGGACAGCCCCGCTGTTTGCTGCTGAGTGGTGGGGAGGCAAAAACAGTGCCATGTTTAAAACTGTGGTTTTAGCTTCCCTGCTGATTAGCAGGGAGCAGCAGGGGTCCTCCACTAATCAGTAGTGGTAGGTTGGAGGGGGAGCAAGGGGCGAGGTGCGTACAGGGGAACATGCAAAATTAAAGGAGCTGCTGTGCACTCTACTTCTGCTGTGAATTCGGTACCTCTCTACTAATCAGTTAAAAATAAAAGCATCTATAAATCTAAAGTTGTGCTAAAAGGTTACCCTCTAAAGAGAAATTAATTCCTGTTCGTGGACATCTTATTGTAACATTTACCTTGATTAACATAAACTTCTGCATTGGTTCAACCCATTCCAACAAAACAATGCTAGTCTGTAGTGCTCCACAAAGGTATTTATGGCCTGTGTAAGGATTCCTCACTGCCAAGAAAGAAAAGGCAAAACATGTACTAAGTATAAACGTTTTCCATCTAACTTAACATAGTCCTTGCCATTCTGAAAATGACCCAACATGAGAAAGGACACCTGAAACACCCATTTCCATTCTTAAGAATTGCATTCTTAGGCAGTGAGCTCCTAGAAAGGTTAAGGGATAGTCTTCCCTTTTGGAGTTTCTACTGGCAGCTGCTCCTTCTCATCCCTTTTATCACTATTCAGTTAAAACTCATTTAAAGAGAACATTCAGGTTGCACATTCGGGCAAGGAAAAGCCAGGACATGTGGTGTCACTTGTAAGCAGCCTCATAGGGGCTGGACCCGATGATCTTCCAAGGTCCCTTCCAGCCTTACAATCTGTGTGAATCTGTATGGCCAACCTCCTATAATTCAGGCATCAACAGCTTATTAGAACTGTAAATGACAAAGCTATGAAGTCTCTGCCTCAAAGCACTTACAGGCTAACGATCTGAATTCAAAGTCCATTTGACCCACTTTGTGCCAAGATTCTCATTTAGACACATGAAAATACAGATAAGCACCAAACAGCATTTATAAAGGTATAGAGGCAGACCAGGCACCTATACCCCACTCACTGACTTTCAATAAAATTAAGCAGATCAAGTCTACTGGGAATACCCTCCCTACCCCTCCTTGACATTCCAAAAATCTATCTGCATCTTTCAGCACCTAAAAATGCCTTCGTAGATCTCCCCGCTTTGTGCAACATCTCACTCAACCCATCTGTAAAATGGGGGGAATGATACTCCTAAGGTAAGGTTCAGCTCAGGAACACAGAATGTGATGTGTGCAATAATTAACACCAGTAAGTGGGAGGGGTGCTATTCAAACTCTTCCAGTTCAGTGCTGCTTTCCCTAGGCCAGAGGAACTGTTACTGGTACTGCAGCACCTGACTTCCATTACAGGTGCCAGTTCCAAGCCTACCAGGTGAGCAATGTCTAGGAATTTCCAGACGCTGACTACTGCAGAAAGAAGCAGCCATGTGCTAGCTAGCCTTCCAACAAACAATGCCTGGCTTACCAGGACAACCATATGATTACAAGTGGGGTGTACTGCCAAGGTCTCTATTTAGCATTTGAGGAGAAACCTTGCAGACAAATAAGTTTTACAAGTTACTCTTATATACTAAAGGTATCTAAAGAGATTATATCTACCAGAATTTTTCCCCCTAGTATTTTCTCATCTTTCAGGCAGACCTGAAAATATTTCTTTCAGCAGTCCAGAACATCAGTCTACATTTTACTGAGGCCAGGTATCTCAACCAAGTCAAAGCCTCATTAGCAGGGACCCTAGCTTTCCCTGATAGAAAATCGCAAGTTCTCTGATAAACCCCTCCCCAAAATCCACAGTTAAAATGAAACGCCACTATAGATATAGCTATGAACACAATGTTTTCTTAATATATTTACAATTTTAAAGCAATTTGCAAGGCTACCTGTGCCTCACTCACTATAATAGAATAAATTCTAAATACCTCTACATTTTGGTATTTGATTGGGGTTTTTTATTATGGAAAAATGAGACCTCCCCCTGCCCCCTTAGTTCACAAAATGCAGGTTCAGGCCCCTCACTCTGAAACCACAGCCCCCTGGCCCTGCTGACGCCTCTCACTCCTCCACCCCTGCT